TTGAGTCCACCGAGTGTTTTTCAGACATGAAAAATCAAAACGCCTCATAAAAATCCATCGTTCGGAGGTGATTTAGAATAAACTGTTGGTCACTCTCCATTCGTTGGAAAGATACGTACACAAATTGGAGAGAGAGCTCAGCGTGAAATAGCTTCAGCGGTTCCAAAGTGCCAAATATATGTAATATATAAATATATGTAAATATGAATTTTTCTCATAAAGCGAAATACTAATTTCGTTGCAGAATAGAACTAGTAATTTGTTCTATATTTTGAACTAGTATGAGACTGGTATGGATCTAATTTACCACTGAGTCAAACCGTCTAATATAGTCGCGACGTTAATAGAAATCAATTCCTGGTTTAGACGAAATACTATTGAGTTGCCTGACATACAAAGTTCCTTTTAAATAGTTATGTTTATTGCGAAGGATTCACTGACAAATCCTTCGCAACTGACATTCAGTTTAAAAACCATGAGCCTTTCAGAAACTGGAGCGTAGTAGAGCTCTACTGGAAGTTAGCTCTATTTTTTCACGCTTGGCATATTTAATCATTCCAGTGCAGAGGGGGCTACAGCCTTATCTGTAAATCCATAATCCGAAATATTTTCATTTTCCTTCTTTTCGGAATGCTCGGTCGAACTGGAGGTTAACTGCCTTCATTACGGTGAACAAATAAATAGACTGTTTATAATTTTGTTGCGAAAAAAATTCATAAAAACTTATCTCAGTGTATTTGAAGGAAATTAATTTTAAATAATGTCAACGTTATCGATATTATTTGATGCAAAGATACCCACTTTCCGTGTGGCGATAAATTTTGAGCTACCAAAAGAAATATGTCAGTTTCGTTACCATATTTTGTTGTGTTTTATTTATTATTGGTCTGGAAATTTTCTGAAAATATAATGGAGAATAGCTTATGGAAACTCTATGGAAACTTTATCTAATTATAGACATTCAAATGTACTTTGAATGTACGTATTTTCTATTCAAGCATCGGTAAATTTATCGAAAACATTTGCACTTGTTGTTATTTTGTTTACCTGTTATTCCCGCCAATTTTCCTCCTATTTTATTGCATGTCATTGTATTCTTTTAACAAAGCTCATATACGAGCACAACAACAATACACTTTGTATGCATTTAATGTACTCGTACACATGTCTTTTATTTACATAACTGTGTTAATGTATTGCACATACATACCCGTACATATGTACATTCTCATATAAAGTCAGCATTTGTTTGCACAAAAAAAGAACCAACTAAAATAAACAAAATATCTTATCAATAAAAAACATAAGCCAACAACACTTGCCGTGCACTATGCAAATTTTCAATGGCATTGTTGCTAGAAAAACTGCAGCAATAAACTTGGCTTTCCGGTGTGTTTATTTTTACTTATTATTACTTATCCGTTTTTTATACCCAACGTACGAGGAGTGCGGTGTTGTATTTGTGTAAGTCTTCTAGATAACAACGGCATACAACAGCGCGACGCTTGTTTTTTCAGCGTCTATTTGAAACTCGTAAGTGAAGTGAGGTCCCTCTTCATCTGAACCTTCCAAGGGATTGGATGTCTTCCTCTTGTTCCATTTTCACTAACGGATACTACATCGAATACTTTCAAAACTGGAGCATAATCTCACCAACGTAGCCGCTGTCTCTTTCTTCCCCGAACTAGTTCAATGTCGCCGTATGCCTCGTACAGCTCATCGTTCGTTCAGTGCCAACAATATTCGACGTTGCCATTGCCAATCGTTCGCAAAACCTTTATCCTGAAAACTCCGAATGTCAACTTATCGGATTTTGTCATTGGTCAAGCCTCTGCAAAATATAACAGAGCTTGCCTGCGGTGCTTTGTGCTCAGTCTAAAGCAGCAACATTTGGTAAAAATGGTTCTGCGTTGAATTCCCATCTTGAAATTTATCGGTGTTGATGTTGGTCCTTAAATAGACCATCTACAATCACATAATTACAGCTGTCTACAGGAGCCAAGAGGTAAACGCGCCCTATGTGATTGCTGACTGGAGGCATTCCGTCTTGTGCTCGTTCATTATTAGTACCATTCGCTTCCGTGCTTTGTGATATCAATATATTCCCAAAAGACAGCACTTTTGGAAAAGATTGGGCAGCTCTTTTTATTTTCTCTACTACTATTATTTTGAAGAATTTCCACTTTAGAAAATCACCTAGTTTGGTATTGTGCAAAACTAGTTTTTACAGCCGTATAAGTTTCGTAGGAATACCAAATTTATACAAAGCAACGTAGAGACAGCTCATTTTCGTCGGATCGAAGGCAGCTTTAAAATGAACAAAGAGCTGATGTGTGACGATAATTGGTCTAGCCTGTCTCATAGATTGGGCAGAGCACACTCAGGTTAAATTAGTTGGAGATATTTTTGTCCAAACATATTTTTCAAAACGTACGTACACTTTCTCAGTTCTTCGCCACCAGCAATCCATCGCCTACCGGCTGTTTTGTTATTCGTTATATCCTTCGTCTTCCGGCTATTTTGTTATAGGTAAGCTATTCGAACTTTAGTCGATCGGTCACTCGTGCTCGTGTGTTGCACTTTCACCTCCATTCAGTGGACTGGAAAGTTCTTTTTCCTTAAACTGAGTATTCTCTGGACCTCAGGTACAAAATTAACTCCTTAATTCCTATATACATTAGTATGTCGCGGACTTTCATAGCACTTTCAAGCATTAATATACATATAGATACCTATGTATATTTGAAAATATTTTTTTGAATCCATCAACGCTCATAACTAGCCGTCACACCGTGATATTCCACAATTAATTCAATTGGCAATTGACAAACCAAAGAAGTTTTTATCTTAAAGAATCTATTATATATGATTTGAATTGTCTAAAAAGTTTCTTACGCCCTATGTTCATGACACTGTGAATCCAAATGAGAGATGATAAGTGAGTGAAAAAATTCAAGACGTACTTGTGACTTCGTTTTGCTGGTATGGTTTTTGATTACTCTTAGGTATATGAGAAAAGAAGTTCTAGAATAACATCGGGGGTTATTGCAGTATGAAGGAGTAGGAAAAGTCCGTATGTGCATTTGTAGGTGCGTGACTATGCTATTTAGGTTCAGTAAGTCTGGCGTCGATAGAAATTTTTGCAAAACTCGCACTTACAGTGCGATATATTCTGATTTCTTTTGTGAGACTGATTTTGTTATTGGGCTTTGTAACCGCGATTTTCAACCGAGCTCCTCTACCAATGGTTGTGCGTTTTAATGTTTTTGCAATAAATGGTGGGTCCTACAATTCATACTAAGCCACCTTCGAACAGCTGATGGTTTTTTTATGAGAAGCCTTTTTTATTTCATGCCAGAAATGCAATCGGAGAAGTTAACATTTCCTACCGAGGGGCGACCGCAATTAGAAAATTTAACTTAATATTTATTCAAATTAATTTTCTATAATTTTTGATGTTGGTCGTGGCAGCATTTGAACCCGGAGCTTTCGAATGACAGTACGCATTGCTAACCACTCGGCTACCGCGGTCATGGCGACCTGCTGTGCTGTAATATAGAAACAATAACATATTGTACTATACGACGAGGCATATCTCGAAATTAAGTTTACTGAGGCTTTCATGGCCGGAGGGATTTTAATTAAATTGAAGGTCAATGCCAAAGATAACATCGTAGAAAACTATTTATCTCGCGCGGGTACTCTAAAAACTCACCTTTGCAATAACATTTTTCAGCAGAGTTACTTCGATAAAAGAAAGTTTTCTTTTCGGATTTTAGTACATTTTTTTTGTATTTTTTTTTTACTAACAAAAAATTGTGCAAATGAAAGCTACATTTGGCTTCAAACAAAATTTTTTTTTTTAATTTTAACATAAGTACAAATTTGCAGTGATTAATGAAAATTTATTGACAACAAAAATTGATTTTCTGATGAAAAATGGAGCGTTTTCTTGTTGATTAAGTGGCCTCTGTTTAGAGTTTCTTCATTAATAGTGGAAACTCATTTATCGGTAATTTGTGAGAGTTCCGTATCACGTTACCTTTGGTCTTGGGACGTTGTCAAACCAGTCACCAGCCAATTTGCGAAATGCGCGGCCTCATCCCTTATCTTGTTTGACAGGAAAAACCTCCGTTTGAGATTTATTAGCAGTTGTAAACTGCATATGGCGATAAAGCTATGAATCGTGCGAGTGTGTGAAAATAGTGTCGCAAGTTTAAAAACTGTGCAAGATGAATAGAGCTGTGGAAGTTCTTCAATTGCGACTGACGAAATGTTTCAAAAAATCAAAAATGTGCTCCGTGACGATTATAGGTTGACTGCGAAGGAATTTTCCGCGCTGTTTCCCGAAACTACCAGTTCGTAACTACACGAAACAGTCACTGAAACCTTCAGATATCCGACTTCTTTGGCGTTAGCAAGTGACTATTTCGAAGAAGGCTTCAAAAAATGTACACCCTACATAGAGCCGAATGCCAGCTATGTCGAGAAACGTTGACATTATGTAACACATTATAACTTAATTATATTGTTCAAATAAAAAATTTAAAGCCAACAAAAATTCACTTTTTGGATTTGCCTCGTATTTCATACAAATTTTTCTACTTTTTAAATATTATTATATATATGTATATTATAAATTTTTTTAAGCCAAATTAGCAAAAGCATTTCTTTTCTGATATATGCCTCTTGCTATATAAATCGTGACAGCAAATATTATTAAATGGAAAATAAAAAATTAGATTTTAATTGAAAAATTTAGCGTAAGGCGTTTAAATGTTGCGCTTATGGAAATTCGTTAAGCATTTAACCGCAATACTTGCAAAATGATAGATGGCACTCGTGCCATAACACTGAAATTTACATATGCTATATTATATACATATATGTATATATATATGTTAATTATATATTGCCTTTAAAATATTAAGTGTTACGCCAAAAAATGTTATATTCAACTTTTCTTTATTTTCTTGTTTGCTTTCTACTTACAGTTTTAAAATCAACCGCCTTCAACGACGAAGACCTACACGCACACATATAAACACATACATCAACTAAATATTTAGTAAAAATTATAATATAAATAGTATATATTTAAGTAAAAAAAAAAAATATGTCTGATTTTTCATCATACGAAATGAGCTCAGTCGATCGTCCAGTGAATCGCTTTCAAGTGAATCCTGTTAATCATAATAAGCCAAACGAGACAATACAATTAGATGTGCCACAAGAGGTCTATCGTCGTTTAGTCAATAGCGACGGCGAGCCGTTAGAGGATGATACTTTCAATGAAGATGCTACGGAAATCTTAAATAAACAAAATCTACAACGTACACAGAGGTAAGACTTGTTGTAATGCGAGTTCAGTTCAGTAGACACATATGTAGGTATGTATAATATTTGCGAGGTTAACTGGGCTACTGAGGAATTGTGGAGAGTTGAGAAATTGTGAAATTGCACTACGTACGAGTATGTAGCTTTGTTCAATACCTCGCCCTCTTTTTCGTGCTTGACTAGAATGAATCGATAGTAAATATTGAATCTATGCTGATTCTGAAGGCGAAAAATCTTGAGCACACTTCCAATGGAACGAAAAGGAGCTGCGAAAATTAAATGGCCACCGCAACCTAATGATCAACAATGCACGTTGCTGCGTCCTTGAAATTCAGTTTCCCTTCTCCCGGCATATTTCTCCCCTCCGTTGATATATTTGCCATCGCTTTAGCTTGTTTAGTTCGACTGCTGTGTCGTGTCGAGTAGTCGTGTGTACGTCGTGCTCGTCACGAAAATAAAAAAAACGATATCAAGAGCAAAGCGTCGGGTTAAAAATTTGCGTCAAACTGTTAGTCATTACAGGCGCTGAGAGCTGGTTTTTTTCAATACGACCCGGAAACCAAACGGTAAAGCTCACAATGGTTGTCTCCGCACGCTCTCGCCTGAAAAAGTGTCGCATAAGCAAGTCGATCGTGAAAACAATAATTATGTCCTTTTTTGATAGCCGTGTAATCATCCACAAAGAACTTCTTCTACCGGGTCAAACCGTAAATCAAGTCTATTATCGCTAAGTACTTGAAAGATTGCGAAAACGAGTCAACAAAGTAGGCCCAGACATCGCTCGTAACTCTACCCTTTATCACGACAACGCGCCATGCCACACCGCACTCAGCGTGCCCCAGTATTTGGTCTCTAAAGGGACCGCCGTGTTGCAACCACCGCCTTATTCGCCCGATATGTCACCCTGTGACTTTTTTGTTCCCTAGAACTAAATCGGTGGTAAAAGGAACACATTTTGAGTCGATTGAGGACATCCACGCGCCCTGTCGAGGCGTTCCTTAATTGTTACGAAGCATGGAAAGCGCACTGGAATCGTTGTATAGCTGCCCAAGAATATTACTTTGAAGCGGATGGCAAAGTTGAAGAATAATTTCGAAATACATGGTTTTTATGGATTCCGTCTCATTACTTAATTGTCACACCGCGCGTACAACAGACTTTGGCTTCGATTTCTGGCCAATCAAACATCTTAAATTATAATTTTTTTCTCTTCATAAAAGTCCAGCACCTGTTCGGAAGAAGTGAAGCCTCTCCAGATGTCACTGTTCGAAATTCTTAAGCCGACCAAAATATGTAAATGAAATGAACCTATCGGTCTGATGGTGTACAAACAGAGCAAATAACTCTAGTCATAAACCTAGTTAGCCAAGTCAGTGATAACATCTTACCCAGAATCACACCAAAGGCGATCTTATACTTATATACGGTGTAGGAGCATGGACGATGAAAGTCTGAGAATATAGACGGCTACGTTTTTGACCTTTCCCATATCTTCGCTGCCAGTCTACTTCTTTCGCCCCCGAAATTCACGCCGATACTTTTCACCATCATAACGAAAGAGTACCGAAAAGTTCTAAATTTAAAGCCATTGGCCTAAACATTTACGCTGACTGTTGCCGGGAAAGAAATTCCACAGATTTCTCTCCACCATACAGCAAACGAATCTGATTGTCACTATTGATTACTAGCAGAAACGTTGTTGACAACTACCCACTAAAAAGCAGACGAAGAGTTTGAGCCGTAACCTGCTATCCGAGTAATCGCAACGCAAGTAAGGTGCATTCTCATTCCAAGGCCTCACGATGTTTTCAGGATATGCAGACTCGATTCCTTTTAATATGGATCGGTTGTGAATTCTACGTAAGGAAGCTTTGTATTAGCAAGTCCGTAAACGAGGTGATCAACTGTTGAGGTTGAATGGTATTCTCAGTAAACTGTGTCTATATCTGCTCTGAAAACCAGGTAGCGATCTGTAGCAATAAAATTAAAAAGGGTAAAAAATTGCCGTAGTTCACTTAATGGGACTGTTAAAATGTATCAATACACAGGCTGCATGAAAGGCTCTATATAAAAGAGTTATTCATCGCTGATGCTAACTTAATATTGAAGAGTTGGATAGGAAGAAAATATCTACAATTGAGGGTATTCTTACAGGATATAGTTTATGAGGGCGGCACATAGATAGGCGGCTCGTACCATCAGATGATTTCTGCAGTAGTTGTAGGAAGAACCTGAATCCTTCAGAGGCCTCCATTGCGAATGGCGCGCCTTTTGGAGGAGATTGTCCACAACCATTAGAGATTTGAGCGAAATTGATTTGACTAGAGAGTCGAGGCTATTGTGATCCTCAATGGAATTAAGTTGAGTTCAATTGGAAGCCTAAGCGTGCTTGTGCCCGCGATCACTTAAATTCAGCTTAACCTGACATAGCCATAGTGCAGCGACTCAAGAGACGGCAATGCTGAACAGCTCATGCGGTTCTTTTGAAGGGGAATACGGTAAATTTTGAAGATTTTCAATGCAATACGCGCGAGCATACGCCATTGGGGATACCAGATGGTAAAGCACGGTCTGTAAATGGTTTTTCAAATTGGCGTCAAACAGCAAAAAGAATGGACCGCTGTTAACACGTTACAGTGTCTACGTCAATAAAGAAAAAGAAGAAGAAGTGCATACTGCAGTAGATTTAGTACTTTTCTCTCTGGATTCGACCCTTTGCATATCCTCACAATCGTCATCTGGTTCGAAAACGTCGAAACGTCGATGACATTGACTAGCTTTGCTTGCTTCTACACGCGGTTACGTTGTCACTACCGCAACAATGGTCCGATGTGATGGCCATACTAGTTTTAATATCAAAAGAGCTTTATAACATCTTGCATATTAAAAAGACACGTAGCCCCTACGAAGAAAGAATGATGTACTCGAAATTTGTTAATATTATGGCCGAATTGAGATACAGATTTTGGACACATATTCCTCGTGAACAACTCTTTGAGATTTCTTAAAAACTTCAACAGCCCTTCCTCTCGCTACCCAGGGTAAGCTTGTTAAACCGTAGCTTAAAATCTTGGCGCCCAGAAGTATGTTACATTTGAAGTGATTTCTGATATAATAGTTTCATCCTTAAAAATCGTTTTGGATTTATTTTCCTATAAATCTTATTGGCATTGAGCCCAATTTTGCATAGCAGTAAATTTACTCTCTCTCTCTCTTTTCTCTCCAAACTAGGCAATCGATAAAAAGTAGTTTTCGAGATAAAGATAAACCATCGAGATTCAAAGATCAATCGCAAACCACACGATTCCAAGTAGCACCGCCAAATGAGGAAGACTCAGACGACTCAAGCGGTTCAAAGGATGATCGTGAATTATTGGAAAATGAATATGACACGAAGTATGGCAAAAGTTTTCGGTAAGTTTGTATTGCACATGGAAACTCTCACTACAGATCCTTATAGCAATATCGCCTTACTTGTAGACACTTTACACGCGAAGCATTACCCAGATTGGATAATTATCGGAACATAATGTCCATACAAGCCGCCTACCGTCCCACGCTGGACGAATTGCACAATGCAACCTTGACCGGAAAGGTAATTACGAATTAGAAATAGTAGTATACCAATACTACAATACTATAGTAGTGAATACAATATGATTATAGGAACAAGTGCATGCGAATATTTGTAGTCCGTCGTAATTGAATTCTAAAAGTAGTTGGGCACCAAGTAGCATACATCTTACAAACTGTCGATTGTCTTCCTAGATGCTTATTGTTCTGTTATTTTTTAATTTTTTAATTTTTTAATTGTGTCACTCGGTTTAAAATAGCGCTTTTTTACATTTCTTGCTTACCGTCACCCCTGTAATTCAATTACACTCGGTAAATAGAAATGGCATGAAATATGAATGCGCTTGAACTTACTACACACACACACACACACACACACACACACACACACACACACACACACACACACACACACACGAACAAACAGTTACATGCACATGTATGTATATGTATTTTTTTACATTCCGATTTCTAGCGATTGAATATGAACTGGGGCAATTACTCCCGACACAAAAGCTACTCATAATTTAATTAAGACCAATTTTTAATTGATGCGTCATTTACAATAGCAAATTTCAATGCGCCATTTTGGCCTTTGGGAGATCGCTCTTCTGTCCATTTTATTTTTTTTTTAATTTTTTTTTTAATTTTTATTTCATTTTTTATACATATATAAATAATTAATTGAAGGAATTTTATTTTAATTAACTATCATTCATAACAAATACTTACATATTGAATCCGAATTATTTTTTCTACAGTCCGCCAGCTTAAATCGCAATCAGGATCCGGAGGCGGGCAATATGAATGGTTCACTTAAATTTGGTTGGATTAAAGGCGTCTTAATCCGTTGTCTACTCAACATTTGGGGTGTTATGCTATTCTTACGACTCAGTTGGGTTGTGGGACAAGCTGGTATCGTTGAGGGGTTTATTTTGATTTTAACAACAACAGTGGTTACTAGTGTTACCTCCCTGTCGATGTCGGCAATCAGTACGAATGGTGTTATTAAAGGAGGTAAGTGAGAAGAAGAAGAAGAAGTGAAAGTGTGACTTAATGTAGCGGAAAAATAGTAAATATTAATTACTATTATCTCCAAACTTCGGTTAGATGAGATAAGATTAAGACTAAGGCTTGAGCAAGAGCCATTGTTATGCAACAAAAACTTAGCCATTCGCCCTCGCTATCTAACCATTTCGAATATCTAATGAACCTCAACAGCTCCATGACTTTGACGTCGGCTAACATCCAGCTATAGGTTTCCCAAAATTCCGAGTCCTAGCACAGCCCGTAGCAGGACAGTCGCATATAAGATGGGTGATTGATTTCTCCTCAGCACCATCCTTGCATCATCTTCTAGAGGGAGCACCTAGTTTATTTGCATGTCACCTTATCAGAACCTATCAGGACGGCTATTATTTTGGATATGGCCCCTACTTTTTAGGAGTACATACCACGTCATTTCTTCTTATTTCATATTGTTCGAGATTACCTCGATTTTCGGCAAATTGTAGCTTTGTTCTATCTTATTGCAGCCTGTTCAAGCATAAAGTCCTTAAGAAGCAGCTTGCTGGTTGCAAAGGGCATACCAATGCGTACTTTATCGAGATATCTCTCCGAGGTTGTACCTTGCCTAAAAAATTTGGTTAGTATTAACTTAACTAAACTAGAACAGGGCTAAAAGATATTTCATAACTGTATATCTATATGTATATAAGAGGGTTTTCGTGATCTTCGTTTTTAATTGGACTAGCACTTCAAAGGAGCCACTATGTAAGGCGTAATGATGATGATGATGTCCATTAACTTTTAACCTCATTAATCACCTTCTGCTTAAAGTTGCTGTTGTGGATTTCTAATATTTTCAGTAGATCTCTCCCCAATCTCTCTTACTACCCTACGCTATAAACGGCTACAGTAATAATGAAAGCCCTTTTTCGTGGTTTTTCCACTCTGCAATGGTACCCCAACCTTTCACAATATATTCTGACAGCTGGACTGTTTTCATGGCGGTAGAGTTACTGGACAGTGCTGATCTTCAAAGCAAAAGAATACACATTTATGTGGATAGCCAAGCGGCCATTAAGGCCTTCCTTTCATACGGTGCGAAGTCGACTGTGGTGATAAAATACAGGTTATAGTGGCATCGAAGGCCAGGAGATAGATGTTGAAATGGCTAAGGGAAGTGTCCTTAGAGAACAGGACGTAATTATGGACTTACTAGTACCGATCAGTGAACTGAAGCTAGAGCAAGAGGTAATCTTAGTTCGTCAAGTTTAGACGGGCATGTAGTCTGTGATTGTACAACATTTTGAGCTTAGAACGCTGCACGACCTTCAGTCAGCAATGAGTAAAAGTCCCAAATTTGAAAAGAGAAAAACATGGATGTAGTATTTAATCAATACCGTGAATCTGATAACACGATGGACGTAGTATCATTTAAGCGAGGCTCGATGGGTTGGTCAATCACTTTAACCTATGTATGTCTTTTCAACGCAATCCAACCACCTCGTAGGTTATAGTAAGATGCAGAGAAGATTTAAGGAAACTGAGCGCGAAACGTCCAGAGTCCACGGATACAGGGCCATCCCGAGCAATTGCGAGCTCAACGCACCAGCTAAAAAGTGAATAGGCAACGGTTAAATCTGAAATCAATGTGGACATACCTGCTTCCACTACAAAGTACCTGGTAAGATTGGCATTCACCAGTATGGCCAATACTAGACAGATGCAGGCATTAATAGAAAAGTAGAGAACTTAATAACCGGACACTGTCCGATGGTGACTCAGTGTAGAAGAATGATTTACTTCTCTAATGTCTACTGTCGTAGCTGCAGAGACATACACGGGAAGGATTCGGTAGAGCATCACCTCTGTCACTGCCCAGCACTCGGCGCGGCCGGCCATTATTTCATGGTTAATTTTTACTTCGACTGCCTTGCTTATCTAGTACCGTCAGCTAAGGATTTTCTGAATTTTCTAAATCTCTCGTCATTCCACTGACATGTTGGATATGATTTCTATGTCAAGCAGAATTTAACAGATTTAGTTTTATTTGCTGATTCTCTGCTACCAGCACATTCATCCAGTATTTGAAACAAGTTACAGGCCCGACTAAATTACCTAAACTAATCAATGATTCTACGAAAGAAGAATCTCTATAGAACAGTACCCATCATTTTGGATGCTGCTAACTTCTATCCATATCGCTTTGATCGAATCCTATCCAAGGAAATCTTTAAATCGAGTATTCTCTTGGATGACTTCGATGACAAGTTCTAATTTTTTACTTATAATAAGAGAGAGTTAACCCCTGAAACAACAGCAATATCCTGGTCCCATGTTTCAAGTAAATTTTCTCATCTATACATCTCTTATTTCGTGAAGACAGTTAGACAGAGGTGATTTCAGACACATGTCTTTAAAACATGAACCTGAAACCTTTTCCTATTACTTTCTCAAGTTAATAGGAATCTAAGAGTTGGCGGATTGACAACCGAGTCGATTACATTGGTAGAAGGTAGAGAAAAATTATTTTTTTCGGAGTTTTCGATGCTATCCTATACGAGGTGGGACAATTAAGTAATGGTACTGATTATATTGCCGCGATTGTGGTAATCCTGCGACCTTGAAATTCCCTTTCCCTTCTGCCGGCATGATTCTCCTCTCCATTGATATATTTGCCATCGCTCTAGCTTGTTTAGTTTGCCTGCTGTGTCGTGTTGAGTAAACGTATGTTCTTGGAGCTCGTCAAGAAAATCAAAAAACGAAAACAAGAGCAACGCGTCGGGATAAAATTTTGCCCCAAATTGGACGAAACAGCTTCGGTGTTTCGATGACATAAAGAGGAGCGGAGCGGGATACCAGTCGTGGTGCGGACTGACACGAATGTGCAGCGTATGCGCGCTCTAATCCGTGAAGATCGACGTTTAACAGTTCGAATGTCGCCAAGTACTCGAAAGGTTGCGAAAACGAGTCAACAGAGTGCGCCCACACATCGCTCGTAACTGGATCCTTCATCACGACAATGCGCCGTGCCACACCGCCCTCAGCGTGTCCGAGTATTTGGCCACTAAAGGGATCGCCGTGTTGAAACCACCGCATCATTCGCCTGATATGTCACCCTGTGACTTTTTTTGTTCCCTAGAACAAAATCGATGGTCAAAGAAATGCATTTTGGTGCGACTGAGGACATCCAGGGGTACTGGCGGACATCCCTGTCGAAGCATTCCAGATATGTTCCGAAGCATGGAAAACGCGCTGTAATCGTTGTATAGCGGCCCAATAGGACTACTTTGGAGGGAAGGGCAGAGTTGAAGAATAATTTCGAAATATACGGTTTTTTGGAATCAGTTGCATTACTTAATTGTCACACCTCGTATTTGCTTCTATGTTGATGAACAAAAAAAAAATAGCTTATGAGTCAATGTTCAATATTTTTTCTCTACATGAAATATTTCAATATTTTCTAGGTGGGACATATTATATGATATCACGCTCACTGGGTCCCGAATTCGGCGGATCCATTGGCCTGATATTTTCCTTAGCAAATGCTGTCGCCTGTGCTATGTACGTTGTTGGTTTTTGCGAATCTATGTTAGATTTGTTAAAAAGTTTTGGACTCAGTATTATTGATGGCGGTATACAAGATGTGCGAATTATTGGCTGTATTACCATTACCATACTACTTGTTATTGTTGTTGTTGGTATGGAATGGGAGGCAAAGGTAAGAACGAAAAACACATTTTGTACATAAAAAGTGTGTTTTTATATAAGCATAAATACTTTTCTCCTAACATAATCTCAGGCACAAATTGGCTTACTCATCATCCTGTTAGTAGCTATAGCCGATTTCCTCATTGGCTCTCTAATTGGTCCGAAGAGCGAACTTGAAAAGGCTGAGGGCTTTATCGGCTACAATTGTGAGTGAAAGGAAACTGTTATTTTTATTATCAATACACTAATTCGCATTCTCTTTAGATACGATATTCAAGCAAAACCTTTTTTCCGATTACCGCGTTGAAAATGGCGTACATCATGATTTCTTTTCGGTAATAGCTATTTTCTTCCCCGCAGCCACGGGCATTTTGGCTGGTGCTAATATCTCTGGTGATTTAAAAGTGAGTTTATGTGTAAATTGAAATCGAGTTTCATAAAATTAATTATTTATTTAATTTTTTTTTATTTACTTCCTTTTTTTATATTCGATTTAATATAATTAATTTTATTATTATTTTTGCTTTCCTTAATATTTTTTTCTTTTTTATTTAATTAAATTTATTTTGGTTTTCTTCTTTGATTTTATTTTATTTATTTAATAACGTTTTATTTTTTATTTATTTTAGTTTTTATTTACTTTGTTTATTTTACTAAATATTATTTTACTTTGTTTTATATTATTTTATTATTTTTTATATATTCTTCTATTTTTTATTTTATTTTATTTAACATTCTTTTATTTTTTTAATTATAATTTTTAATTTTTTTAACTTATATTTAATCAGTTTTTCTTTTTTTTACTTTATTTATTTTAATAAATTTTATTTTATTTTGTTTTATAGTATTTTATTATTTTAATATTTTAAATTTTTATATATTCTTTGGTTTTGTAATATTTTATTTTAGAGTCTTTTATATTTTTAATTATGTTTTTCAATTTATATTTAACTAATTTTTCTTTTTTCTTTTTTTACTATATTCATTTTACTTAACTTTATTGTATTTATTAATTTTTTATTTTGTTTAATTTATTTTTTACTAAATTTCATTTTATTTTGTTTTATTTTATTTTTTTCTTATTTTTAATTGTTATATATTCTTTTATTTTTTATTTTATTTTATTTTACATTCTTTTACTTTAATTTTTTTTAATTATATTTAATTAATTTTTCTTTTTTCTATTTTCTACTTTATTTATTTTACTCAATTTTTTTTATTTTGTTTAATTTATTTTTTACTAAATTTCATTTTATTTTGTTTTATTTTATTTTTTTCTTATTTTTAATTGTTATATATTCTTTTATTTTTTATTTTATTTTATTTTACATTCTTTTATTAATATGTTTTTTTAATTTTCTTAACTTATATTTAATCAGGTTTTCCTTTTTTTACCTTATTTATTTTACGTATTTTTATTTTATTTATTAATTTTTTATTTTGTTTTTATATTTTATTTTTCATTATTTTTTCATTTTTTTATTTTATTTAAATTACTTTATTAAATTTAATTTCTTTGACTTTATTTTTTTTTAACAAATTTTATTATGTTGTGTTGTATAATAATTTACTTAGTTTTATTCATTGATTTTGTATTAATTTTGTAATATATTTTATTTCCCTTAATTTTGTTTTTTATTTGATTTTATTTTATTTTACTTAATTAAGTTTTTTATTTAATTTAATTTCATTTTTTAATTTTATTTTGTTTTATTTAATTTTATTTTGTTTTTTATTATAATTTTTTTATTATTCCATATCTTCATCTTTTGTTTTATTTCAATTTATTTTTAATATAATTTTGTTTAAAGCAATTAAGCTTCTTTATTTCGTTTAATTTTATTTGTTCTTTTATTATTTTATTTCTTTTTATATTTTATTTTACATTCTATTTTTTTTATATTTTTTTTTAAATACTTATTTAAATCTAATTTATTTAATTTTATTTATATTAAACAATTTTATTACATTTTCTTCTCTAATAGTTTTTTAAGTTTGTAAAATAGTTTTGTATTAATTTTTTAGTGCATTTTGTTTTACATATTTTTTTGTTATTTATTTTGATTAATTTTTTTATTTTTTTCTTTATTTATTATTTAATTTTGTTTTATTTAATTTTTTATTATATATATTATATGTTTTTATTAATTCATATCTATATTTTTTTTGTTTTATTTTAATTTGTTTTTTATTAAATTTAATTTTAATTTCTTTATTTTATTTTCGTTTTTAATTTTATTTGATCTTTACATTTTCTAATTTTATTTATATATTATATTTTTTTTTGTATATGTATATTTTGTTTTTCATTCTCCTGTTTTATAAAAGGCCTTAATAAAAAATACTCTTTCTCAATACATTGTTGAATTTAAACTAAATTTGCATTTTCAGGATCCTCAAAAATCCATTCCAAAAGGTACTCTTATAGCTATCTTAATCTCGACCGCCACCTATCTCTTTATGGTCCTCGTGTGTGCTGCTACTGTGGCTCGGGATGCCACTGGAAACCTGGCAGATGTTGCCAATGGTTCCTTTGCTTTTCTAAACTGCACCGAGCCAGGTAAGCACTTCTAAAGCCTCAAGTGACATTTTTAAAACCAACACAATACTTTTAGGCCAATGCCATTATGGTCTGCAAAACTCATTTCAAGTGATTGAGCTTGTCTCTGGTTTTGGTCCTTTAATCTATGCTGGTTGCTTTGCGGCAGCTATCTCTTCAGCCCTAGCCAGTTTAGTCTCGGCGCCAAAAGTATTTCAGGCGCTTTGTAAAGATGAACTCTATCCAAAGATTGTGTGGTTTGCCAAGGGTTATGGTAAAAATAACGAACCCTTCCGCGGATATGTGCTAACATTCATTATTGCTGTTGCGTGAGTAGATGTTCGATTATGGATATACGTGTAGTAAAGCCAAGATTATGAATATTTAACTCCTGCCCTTTCTGTCTCTAATTTTCACTTTACATTTCAGCTTCATTTTAATTGGTGAACTCAACTTGATCGCTCCGCTCATCTCGAACTTCTTCCTAGGTGCCTACACACTCATCAATTTCAGTACTTTTCATGCTAGCTTAGCTAAACCCGTTGGTTGGCGACCAACCTTCAAGGTAAGCTCACTCAATATACATATCTGCTGGTCATAATTTCTATACGATCACTATCCTTTTTTAGTATTACAATATGTGGCTTAGCTTGGTCGGTTCAATACTGTGTGTCGCCGTTATGTTCCTCATCTCTTGGGTAACGGCGCTTATCACCTTTGCAGCGGTGTTGGCACTATACTTAATTGTTGCATATCGCAAGCCGGATGTTAATTGGGGTTCCACCACGCAAGCACAAACTTATAAGAACGCACTGATGTCTGTGCAACAGCTGAATAATGTGGAAGAACATGTGAAGAACTATAGACCACAGGTAAAACTCGATTTAGAAAGACCGCTTGCCATTCAATACTAATCTATTTTAATTTACACCGTACAGATACTTGTACTATCGGGTTTACCAAACACGCGTCCAGTGCTGGTCGATTTCGCCTATATGCTGACAAAAAATCTTTCTCTACTTGTTTGTGGTCACGTGATTCGTGGTACGAGCTCTCAACGTTATAGAAATTATTTACAAGATCGTGCTACAACCTGGTTCCGTAAACATAATATCAAGGGTTTCTATTCGCTTGTGGACGGTGAGGACTTCGAGTCCGGTACGCGTGCGCTAATGCAGGTGAGTAACAAATGCCGGTTGCTGGGTTAGACCGGAGCATTAATTAATTGTTTTCTCTTCCTAACTAGGCTTGTGGTATTGGAAAGCTAAAGCCAAATATTTTACTTATGGGTTATAAAAATGATTGGCAGACCTGCGATAAGAAGGAGTTGGATCAGTATTTTAATATAATGCATAAGGTGAGGCAATTTTTTATAATTTACTGTCTTTGGAAAAACTAAAAACAATTCAAATGAATTCCACGCAGGCTTTGGACATGTATTTATCTGTGGCCATTCTACGTTTACCCACCGGCTTGGACTGTTCACAGATTTTGGGCGATGAAAGTAGTGCCGCTAAAATTGTAAATGATATTCCACGAACATTGCAGCCGAATGAGAGTTCGGCTGATTTAATGTCGGCAGATAGAAGTGTGCAGAATGGCTTGAGCGGCAGCATGGATTCGCTTAGTCGAAATGTATCACAAGGTATGTTTTTGATAATTAATATCGCCTTGTATACAAATACATACGTTGTCATATACTATTTATAATTACTTATACATATATGTAAGTAATAATAGTGTATAGTGTATATATGTACGTATTTATTCATTTATTTATTTTATGAGAATGCGTCTAGTAGAAATAAATATGTAAATATCGAAGAGCACTAACTGAGGATTTTACCAAATTTATGTAAAACTTTTAAGAATAGTAGGTCGAAATAAATACCTTTTCTACGTTCCTTAAAGATATAATGGAAATCTACTTTTTTTATTAAATCTGAATTTAATTTCAATTTTAATCTATTTTTTTCGAATTTTTTGTATTTACGTTTCCAGTTTTGTATGAATACAAATATATTAGCATGATATATGTATATATTTTATTCAAATATGTATGTGTATATATATATATAAAACTATTTATAAAATTTAGTACTAATTAATAATTTTATTTTCTATTTCTTTTTTTATAATTTATTGCATGATGGCACTTTTTTTATTAATGTCTCTGAACCTCACTCGTATCTCAACGTTGCACTTACATACATGTATAAATATATATATATATATATATATATATATATATATATATGTATAAATACATATGAATTCCGTTATCACCTGATGCACCCCCGATGAATTACATACATATATATATATATACGTATATAAATTGGTCACACTGATTATGATAACCTATGCACTGTCTACATATGTACATATCAATATACACGTACGTTCGTATATGCACTGCATTGTGTGGATACCGTTTAGATGCCGGAGACTCACCTAATACAGAGAATGGCTTGAAACAATTAAAAAGTAAGTAGCATGATATATTTATGAACTACATATATAAAACCAAAAACTGGCGGTCTAAGTAATCAAATAAAATAATGTAAAAAATAAAGCAAAATAAATTAGAAAAATATTAAATGAACTAAAATAAATGTAAATAAATTAAAAATTGAAAAATCCAATAAAAATCCATAAAATAAATTAAATAAATTTTTTGAAGTTTTTAAAAACTTAAAAATTTAATAAAATATATGAAATTATATTAAATGAATTAAATCCAAAAAAAATTAAAAAATGAAAAAAAATAAAAATTAAATTAACTAAATCAAAATAATCTATATAAAAGTGTAATAGTCTTAGTCCGATATCACTTACGGATCAACTCACAGCCTAAACCACTGATAGTAGAGACCTTAAACTTAGAGGATGTGCTCTGCGTATGACGTACCTGAGACCGCTCTATTTTAAAAAATCGAATTTATTTTAAAATTACTCGATTTATAAAAAATTTGGTACAGAGATAGCTTTTCTCCCGGGAAAAGGACCTAAGACCGATCTGTTCGAAAAAATCGCGGTTCTAGTTGAGACCGATTTATTCGGAAAACCATATTTATAGTTCAATTTACTTGCTATTCGAAACATATATATGTGGGCGGCCACGGCAGTCGAGTAGTTAACATAGCATACTGCCATTCGGAGGGCCAGGGTAGAAATCCGGGTACCACAAACATCCAAAAGTTACAGAAAATAAATTCAAATAAAAAATTAAGTTAAATTTTCTAATTGCGGTCGACCCTCGGCAGGGAATCAGGGAATGTCAACCCCTCCGGAGCTCGGAGGCGCCTTTGGTATAAACTGTAGGTCCCACCATTTGATAGAAAAACATCCACACGCAAAATCACAAATTGGAGGAGGAGCTCGGCTGAAAATAGCTTCAACGGTTATAAAGAGTCAAATATATATATATATGTGTGTGAATAGTTTTACTTGGGCCGTTACAATTTGTTAAATGCTTTTGTTTCTGGACGGGTAACTGATGTATTTGAAAAAATAAATAAAATATTTATGTTTCGATTTGTTTGATCTTATATTTATACATATATAAATTAAATAACATAAAAACCAATCAAAAATCTTTTTAGAACCAAATTCGCGAGCGAAATCCAAAAAATAAAAAAATATGAAATAAAAAATTAAAAGAAAAAAATTTAATTATATAAATTAAAATGCAGCAAAATTAAGTGGAACTTAAATAAAACAAAATTCAAATCAAAATAAATAAATTATAGTAAATAAATCAAATCTAAAAAATTCTAGATATATAAATAGAATAAAAGTAAATTAAATAAAACAAAATAAAATATTATAAGATAAAATAAAATTAATATAAATAAAAATAAAATTAAAATAAATAAAACAATATAAATAAACTAAATAAAAAAATTATTTAGATTATTTATATTAAGTACAAAATAAAATACAATTAAATAAATTAAAAAATTATATATGGAAAAACGACTTTATTTTAAATAAAAAACGTTAATAAATAAAAATATATATAAAAAATTAAATATTTATATTTTATAATTTATATTAATACAAAAAAATATCATAAAGCAAATAAAGCTTATTATATTTAAAGAAATTAACCTAAAATTAATTAAATAAAAATAAAATAAATAAAAATAAAATAAGGTATGATAAAATAGGAAAAGTAAAATTCAGTATAACATAAAAAATAAAATATTTAAAACTTATTAAAATATAATATAACTAATAAGACAAGTTTAAAATTAACTCCATAAAACTATTTCACTGAATTGTTTAAATTATTACACCTGTAAAGAAACTTATTTAAATAATATAATACATATAATTCTACAAATAAATATTAAATTTCGCATGCCATAAGGGCATTTTCAAATAATAATATAAATATATCTATTTGACTATTTTTTAACCCAGCTTCCAGCACCAGCGATTTATCATTCATGACAGGAACCCAAGTTAAAGAAGTATCTGGTTTGCCCGATCCAGTTGATCCAAAGTCCCCACAACTACTGGTGAGTAATACGTTTCAAAAACTGAGGGAGGACGAATACTAACCCAATTTATTAATTATTATTTTTTTAAGACCAATTCGCTACGAAAGCCAAAGCAGAAACATAATGATCCAGCCTTCTTGTATAAGGGTCCTGGTGGCGTTGAGCTTCCAAAGGAAATATTGATGGAGCTGACACAGTTCACACGCAAGCGCAGTCATGCTGTAATCGATGTTTGGTGGTTATATGACGATGGCGGTCTAACCCTACTTTTGCCTTATATAATCAGTACGCGTCGCACTTGGCAATCGTGTAAATTGAGGTGAGTCCTTTCGATTGCCATCACTGACATTTAGAGCTGCTCTTTATGGCGGTCAATAATAGATGGATAATGTCGTAAACTTTGTTATAAAATCGGAATTTTAATTTTATTTTATCAAATTTTTATTTCCAGGGTATACGCTTTGGCTAACAAAAAGGCTGAATTGGAGTTTGAACAACGTTCAATGGCAAGTTTATTATCCAAATTTCGTATTGACTACTCAGATTTGACGTTGATTCCCGATATCACGAAGAAACCACAAGAATCCACAACCACTTTCTTTAATGAACTTATTAAGGACTTTGTTAGTAGTGAAAAGGAGAATGGACCCTCGAATGTAGCAACCGAAGAGGAATGTAAGTAAATTTAGCGAAGAATTCGTTTGTATTTCGAATATTTTTTTAATTTATTCATTCTTTTTCTCCGTTAGCCATAATCACCGAAGATGATTTGATGGCCGTTCAAGACAAAACCAATCGCTATTTGCGACTTCGCGAATATTTACATGAACAATCAATGAAATCCGATTTGGTTGTAATGACGCTACCAATGCCACGTAAAAATATTGTTTCCGCACCGTTATATATGGCATGGTTGGAGAGTTTGAGCCGTGATATGCCACCCTTCCTGTTTGTGCGTGGCAATCAAACGAGTGTTTTAACATTTTATTCATAGAAAATTACACCCTTACGTATACATACATATGTACATATGGACGTACACATTGTATGTACTCGTATGTTCATTGTAGGTATTGATAAAGTTATGAGTACAATATCATTTCCAAAGTATTGTTTATATAAGCAAAAAGATTTTCAGCTTTCATCAATTGTTTTCGTTTTTTGTCTGATTTGTTATATTTATTTGATGTTTTTTTTTAATGTAAAAACTAGAAATAATGTTTAAAACTTTTTTCCGATGTAAAAATTAAAGTGATTATTTATGTATGATATATGAATAAGATGATATTTTGCAAAATAAACGACGGCGTAAGCTTTAAAGAGCACAGAATTCACGTGTTTGCTGTGGAAAGTCATGTGATGTGGTAGAGCGTGAGTCGCTATCATTAATGTATTTATAGGACGATGTAATTTCATCTATGTGTTTTTCGTATGATCTGATCTGGCGAAGCGTGTCTCTTAATGTTGTTGTTGTTGTTGTTATTATTATTATTATTATTATTATTATTATTGTTGTTGTTGTTATTGTTGTTGTTGTAATCGCAAAGATATTCCCCTAAGTACTTTTTGGGGAATATTGCAGGAGTGACAGTTCTTGGCCGGATAAAGACGCCAATAATAATAATTTCTCTTAATCGCAGCCATTGTTTGGTGTGAAGTAATTCAATTGGATGTGATATTTATATTGCTGATGTTATCAAATTTTATAAGCTTTGTTATTTTTATAGTTTCTGGTGAATGTGGTAAGATATCACGCGATGTGTTTTAGTGTGTTAAGATATCATGCGATGTGCTTTTGCGTGGTAAGATGTCATGCCATATGTTTTTAGTGGAGTATGATAATATGTCATGCAATGTTTTCTTAGTAATGTGATGTACGTTTCATATGATGTAAAATGATGTCATGAACTGTTTTTTAGATATGTTTCAAATCACAACATTATTATGATAAATTTGAATTTGAACTGATGCAGAGAACTTAAAATATTTATTAAATATTATTTTAAGTTCTCTGCCGCGGTGCGCAACAAAACTACAAAAAACACTATTTTTCTAATTATTATGAACCTGGTGCACCCAGTTTTGTTTATTCATGAAATATTTCCAAATCAGTGACTCAGCAAGTACGCAAACCAGAATATGGCTTATAGTCATCTCACTCACACATGCATTCCACTTATAATAGTCATCGCACTCGTGCTTCCGCTTGTTTCCAATAGTTGTCACGCTACTCAGTGTTGTATTACGTGATAATTTTAATTTCACAATTTAGTTAGAATACAAGAGGTGAGTTTTTTTTAATAGCGCTTCAATTTTATACACATATAAGTAGCTAATTTATTGAAACCACACTGAATACTCCAGTTTTTCTCCAACAGTCGATTTGAAAAGATATATTTGTATGCCGAAGGTATATAATAATAATGTTTTTTTAAATAACAATCGGCAACTCTATTTTACAAAGTGGACCCTGTGGTGTGCAGATTGTAGCAAAATTTTTAATTCTGCAATTTTAGTAAATTTATTCCGGTTGGTGTGTAAACTGCTTTGTTTAATAATTGCGCGTGTGTTTGCGCTTAAAAAATATATACATATGAAAGCGTGACGGATAAATTCCCCCGAAATTGTGTTTAGAAAAGAGGAAAATAAACAATATTAATTTGTGTAAGAATTGCGTTAAAGACTAAAAAAGATTACAGCTGGTAAAGCATTTGTGGCTCATTGGAACCGCCTCATAGTTTTGCTAATAAGCACAAAGTAAAAAAATCTCCAACATATAACAACGAATAAGAAATTGCCGACAATCATGAATTGTTATTGAAAAAAAGAATTGGTGCAGCCTTTTGTGTTTCAAGGACTCCTTAATTCAATAACGACTTGAGTTTTTCGAAAGCATTTAATCGACGTAAGCTTTCTGTTGTAGGTAATTAAAACGCGAATCCATATTTCTCAATTGAAGTGCACTGGTTATGCATAAATAATGTTGCATACCCATTGTCGACCAATAAAAGGTTGCGTATCACATGGAAAAATTATCGTAATGTCTGCCAACAGGAGAAATGCCGGTTTAGTAGCAATTTGACCATATCGAGTGGGAAATCTTATTCACCATTTAAAAATAGATGTACAATTCAAGTGAAGGTTTTTTATATATTTTTTTTTTGTTTGATAAAAATAGGCATACAGGCAGTGGTACAAATACTTTTGAATATATGCATGTAGGAACAAGGGTCAAGTTAGTTAGCATTTAACTCCACGGGTCAAATTAATCAAATTTAAGTTGTTGCTAAATAATTACAAAGTTCGCAAACAACTCTTACCAAAATATTTGATTTCTTTATAAAAAATTGAGATTTTACAATAAATTATTATCCTAAATTTTTTTGTTTTTCATATGAATAGTTTTGAAAATGTGATTTATTTTTTACATGCACATTTGACATTGGTTTAAAAAATAAATCGGTCTAAATACTGGCCGTCGAATACACATCGAGCGCTGTAACAATTGTATTACTAATAATCAAAATTTAACTGTAAAAACATTCAACTTTGTGTGTACCTATTTGGTTGGAATTTATTTCAATTTTATAAATAATACTCATCTCATTAACCAATGACAATTATCCGCAATTTTGAGATTATTAAAACCATGTGGTAGTAAAAAAAAGTACTATTTTTATAGATTGATGTGGCATTTGCAGATTAGGGGACTAAACGGTAGAACGTGCGAGTGGTGATTGCATGTTGTGTCGAAAATGTTTCATAAAACTATAAATAAATCCAAATAAAAATTTGGAGGACGGAGAATAAGCATGCAACAGGGAAATTTACTTGCATACACATAAATAATTGGTATAAGGCGAAGCGTTGTAAAATTGGTATATAATGTTAAAAGCTGAAAATCATAAGAAAATATTTGTACATTCCACGAATCAATGTATTTATTTCACCTAATTTGTTTTTGCCAAATTCAATAGTTAGATATGCATTAAGTAGGTGATAAGAAATATCTGACCACGTATATATTACAGGCTACCACCTAATGGCCTTATGTTATCGCTAGGAGTGATAACGTGATTTATTACATGAAGTAATGCATCAAATTATGTTTTATATAGAAGCTTATACAAATGTACATGCAAATCGAGAAATTTGTGATTTAAAAATTTCTAAATATGTATAAAAACTATCTGTGGCCTACAACTTTATTGTTTTGTATTTGTCTAATACCCCACTAGTATAAATTAGCAAAATACGTAGTAAAATTAATTATTATTTTTTTTTAATAATTTAATTAATAATAAATAGTTATGGATGAATTGGTATGGAATAGAAAAGTAGTTTTAATTTACGTATAATTAAGTTTAACAACTTATTACATGCACACTATTTAATGATGCTCTAGCTATGTGGACTGCTATGTGCACTTCTATTCAAAAATATATAGACATTAAAATTATTTACATATTCGTCTGTGTTTTCAGGTGTACACCAAGTTTTACAATATAATCATATGACTACATTGCTATATCTAGAAAAGTGCTTTTGTAAATAGACATGTGCGCATGACACTGCTAAAAACTTGCAAAGTTATCTACCTGAAAATGTATGATATCTTGTAGTGAAAAGCTTAAGCACGTACATTGAAAAGTATTATGAAACAATTGTAAAGTAGGTTGTGAATAAGCGGTCATTATTTGCTAATTTTTTCCTCTCTGTTTAAGGTAGGGTTTAGATAAAGTCTAATCATTAGACTCTACTGTGATGACAGCTTATCTTTCTTGAAATTTCAGTATTTTAAGAAATAAATGTACAATAAGTTTTATAGAATATAGTCTTTAAAGGAAAAAAAAATAATAAAAAAAACAAATCGGTTTAAATTTCCTGTAAAAAAAAAATTTCGTTTGGTAACAAATTTTTACAGTTTGCTGATATCTCATTTTAATGCCTATTTTTGTACCGATAAAATAATTGCGACAATTTAATGGCAGTTGTGTTCAAAATACCGTAACGACGCATTTTTTTACGTCGTTTAATTATACAAAACCAACCACCTCAAGTGCTATGTCAATGTGTTATAGATAAAGTTACGGTTAAAAATTGAATAGAAAGGAATCCGTGCTAAATTTTAAACAATCGCGCTAGTTTAGGTTAGTTTGCGGTGGCTACCGATTCACTTAGGCCTGACTTAGACCCCTTGTGATACCAGAAAAACTTAAGCCATCAGGCCTCATCCTTCATTCATTTTGATTCTCTACTTGGTCGTACACCGCATTACAGTTTTCCTCGATATCCCTGTGATCAGGGACCAAATATGAGAGACAGTCTATGCTGTTTGACCCTCTCCTGTAGAGATCGGCGACCGTTCAGGCACAGCTTTTATTGCTGCCTGACTAACAATCGCACTAAGTACAAGCTTAAATTTGCAGTACTAACTAACAGTACTTTTATCAACATACTTAAATATGTAAATATTGCTTCAATTATGAACACAACTGTTGGATATAAGCGGAAATGTGAAGCGTTATTTTTTTGTATTACTTTTTTGTACTAATTTTTTAAATATTTTTTCTGTATTTTTTTTTAATAATTTTTTATTTCATTTGAATTTTGCTTACTAAAATTATAAGAATGTATACGTATGCATGTATGCACATATATTGTAATTTATCACAAGGCTCATATTGCGACTGTAATCTCATACACTGTGCACTAAAAAATGACAGACCACAATAAAAAAAATAAGCTGCAAGCAATCTGAGATTTAAATACCAGCAATGTCAGCTCTGATTTCAATGAGAATTCTATAGCTTCGAGGAATTAAGTATTTTTAACATATTTGTTAGCGTTTCTGTGCAAGTTGATGCGCATAACAAAAGTTGTGTGCAAAAAAATACGAGCCATACGCAATAAAGCTTATCAAGTAAATTGTGAATTTATAAATTCTGAGAAACGGTTGTGTGTATGTATGTACATAAAAATAAAAATTGAAATGAGAAAAATTTTTTTGTATACATACATATTTATAATGGGCGCTTTGTAACCGCTGGAGTGATTTTTCGGCTGAGCTCCTCCTCCAATTTGTGGTTTTACGGTTTCAACAAATGGAGGGACCTACAGTTTATACTGTACACTCGAAGGGGTGGACATTTCCCGCCGAGGGGCGACCGCAATCGGAAAATTCAACTTAATTTTTTATTTAAATTAATTTTTCATAACTTTTCGATGTTGGCGGCACCGGGATATGAACCCGAGCCTTCCGAACTACAATTTCTATGTACATATAAATGCGCGTCACTAATAAACAATGTTGTTGGGGAAAAATTAAAATTGATTGATATATGATTTCTAAAATATTTCAACTGAATGTCTTAAAGATAAATTTTGAATATTTTTTCTTCAAATGTGTCCATAGATTCTCGATTGGGTTCAAGTCCGGACTGCATGAAAACCGGTTAATGGAGTTGCTTTGTGTTACGTCATGGGCATATCGTCACACATCAGTTTATGCTAATATTATGTTGCCCATGATTGGTATGTATTTAAACTGGTTTATGTGCCCATCGATTTTGTGAACTGGCAAAACCCTTCATCCCGACATGGCATCGCAAATCATTATACAGCCGACACTATGTCTTAAAGTTGGCCTGAAGAAACCCTATTTATCTTAGTTTCATTAAAAAAACAGTACTCTTTTTTACTCGTTTGCTGTCCAATGACGGTATTTTTTTTTTTGCAAACTCTAAGTGTCTTCTTCGATTACGTTCGCAGAGTAATTACTGCTTCCTTGACACTTTTCCAAAGAGTCCACCCTCGTGTAATCGCCATTTTACGATTTCTACAGTGAGTTCATTAGGATTTTCTTCAAAAATAGTAACCGAATTTTATTCGACGGCTTGTGGGGATCCTTTTTGTGACTCGCGGTTAATCAACTCGTCCTCCGTAAAATTCGTTTCCGGCCTGTCGTCTCTTTTGGAACTTGTTTTACTTAACAACAATAAAAGCCACACCTTTGGAATTAGTTAGATCCTTTGCAATGTCTCCGTACGATATCCCATCCTTGAGCATCTGTACAGCCCTAGTGTCCTCATCGCAAGATTTGCTTTTACCCATTTTTTTTATTAAAATTATTTAATTACTTAATAATAATAAATTTTAATTAGAATATAAAAAAATATTTACATAAACATAACTTATTTACAAGAAATCTGAAGAATTTAACACGCGTTGCTAATTATATGCACGACCGTTTTACGCACATTTGCAAAATAAAAAGCGTTAGCTGCTTGAAAATAACGGAACTTCTTCCAAATTTTTTTTACCGCTAAATCTGACCACACTTTCATAGAAGACAATTTGAAATAAAATTCCATTTTTACACTTAGGATTTTTACGGAAACAAACGTTCTTATAAACTATAAAGGCGGGCAAGTCGTTGTTAATTAGTTGCACGCAACTGTAAGTGTAAAAAATGTAAAACCTTAAGTTATGTCTTGGGTCAATAGCACTGTCGAGCGTTTTTGCTTGCAGCGGAAAGAAATTAAAAAAATAATTTTTTTTTTTGTTTTTTGTGGGAAGATTAAAGTGATATGAGGAGCGGCCAGCGGCTTTCTGTAATTACAGAATTTATTGTTATGCTATATGTCAAATGTACGGGCAAATGCGCATTAGTATATGTTAATATGTATCTGTACATACATACATACATATGTGTGTATGTGAGTGCGCTTGTTGCGAATATGCTGAGGTTTGCTCAAAGCCAAGTTAAAAACATTTTTGTGAAATGTGGTTTGTTGCACTTGAAGACAGCTGACTGATCAATTTTCAATGATGTATGCTTACGATTTGTGTGATTTATTTTTTATTTATATCAATTATATAAATACTTATAAATTTACATAGCCATATAGCGTATAGATGTAT